AGTTGTAGTTGCAACATTGAAAGTGTCGTATCACTCTATACGCTATTATTAAATAAAAAGTTAGTCATAGAAAGGCACAAAGGGGTGCCGTAAGGGGAATAGTTGCGAAGAAAGGCGGGGGGTGGGGGGGTGGGGGGTGGTGGGAGGGGGGGGGGGACAAGTTTGTGCCCCGGCACCACCCACCAAACAAACGTCTGTGAGGTGCTATATCTTCCTTAGTTTTCATTGTAATGTAAAGCGCATTAGATCATATACCAATGTATTTTGCGCTATATAAATAAATAAAGTTATGTTATGTCATGTTAGTTTTCAACAAATCACTTTTAAACTTGGCGGCAATCTTACTGATTTAAAGGCGCTGTTTCCAGCGGAGTTGACGGATTTTCCCGAACTTGTTCATGTCAAAAGTTGGAAAAACCCGTGGAAGGGTCTATTCTGCTCCAATTTACTTTGGTAATTGCAATTATTTGATTTACCCCGCTCTATCCCCTGATGGGACGGCTTGTATGCTTAATTCGTGTGGTATTCTGTTTGTAAGCTTCCTTTATTCATTTTTTTTACTTGAGCCGAGACACATAACCAAAATAGACCTCCTATTGTTCATTTTAATTGTTCATGCACCAGAGTTTTTATTTTAAATACTCAATAACTCAATTCCAAACTTCAGGAAAATTCATTGCCAGGCCCCATTTGTCATTGTCTGGCCTTGACAGCAATGAGCAGTCTATTATAAGCTTACAAAGGAAACTACACAATAAAGGGTGGATTTATTTGCAACACACACGTACACACACATACACGCCCTTGAAGTTGGAATTTTTATGTTTATAACCTTACTTCTTTATGCGTATGCTACAAACAAATCCACAGGCAATGAGTGAATGTTTATCATGACCATGCAAAAAAATGATGACAAATAATATCACTGATTATTAAAATGAAGAGATCTAACACCTCTTTGGCGTTCGTTAATCCAGTGTTGTCTGTATTGTAGAAATGTTCTCACGGGCCCGCCCATGGTAACAAGCTAATATTTTTTTGTTTCTAATTACAATAAATATTAGGTTTGTTTTTTTCTGTCGTGTTCACTGCGGAATTATCGCACGTCTTTTTGCCTCATATTAAAATGTTAAGTAGATTAGTTATTCTTAATTCGTGATTTTAGAAGACTAATATACTGAAAATATTTCAGTTTCTTTGTTTTTACCTAGTCTGTCAAAAATTTATGTATTTAATTGTTTTTATTCGAGGAATAAACAACGTATTACTGAAGATTACAACATCGTAATAAATCCATAAGAAGGTTGACTGCGGGTACTGAGTGCCTCATCCGGTGATGGAGCCGTGTAGAAGCAGTCAAATTTGGTTTTGCTATTTGTGTGTGCATTGATGAGGGTAAAGCGATTTACTGAATGTACAACCTTTGTTTGCCATTTGTTAGAATAAGTCACTGGTATGTTTTTAGCCAACCGCGAACAAAAAGAGAAAATTTACGTTAACCATTCAGTTAAGTGGATAACATTAAGTGATTGATGAGCGACTTATATTTACGAACTTTAATTAAGCTTTTTGATGTTGTTAAGTTAGGCTAGGAAGTATAGATCGAATTCACATCCATGACCAGGTTTTGACAATGTAATTTTTCTCTTTTTTTAATTATTCTGCTTGAAAACATAAATATCACCCAGTCGGAACTGATCGGCCAACAAACAGTATCATTGCAAAACTAAAGTACATTCAATGTGTTAGCTTGTTCGCTGATAATATTATATCTCGGTCTAAATTTATCTCTTTCTTTCATTTTACTATTTGATGAAATCTGTTTTTTATACATATATACATACAATAGCGATCTAATGTCTTAGACAATTCTAACAGCTTTCTCAAACTTCCTGATATAGTTTTGTCAAATAAAATCGCGACATAGAATGTAGAAAGGTTTAATCTTTGGAGATGTTTTCCTCGCAATGGTGCACTCGTACCAATATCTTATTTAACCAGTTAATCTCTTTGAAAGTGCAATAATGTAGCTATCTTGCAGGAGTTTTGAGATACCCTCAAAGAAAAATACTTAGAGCTCAAAGAATACTGTTCAAATCAAAGGTGCTGGTTTGTAATATTTGGTTTTCACTCTCGTTTAATTTATCCAAATACTTGGTTTTCGATTGTTTCACTCTTAGAGGAAAAGTGTGGTAAAACTAGTGACATCCACAACTTGACACAATCATTCCACCGTACTCAGTTAAGGCAACAGATCTGTCACTTGTTCTATATAAAACACTTATACTGTGCAATTTGGTCGGGACGCATGATGGAGATGGTATGCGACTGTCCATTCTATGTAAGATGCTCTGCAAGATGGCATGATTTGTTGGGTTAAGAGTTATATCAAGATTAGTCGTACAAATTCCTTCACAGTAGTTTGCACTGTACCCCTTTGGAGCTACAATCCAGTCCCATTTCAACTTTTTAAACGAGACGTAAGCCCAACGCTTTCTGCATATCTGAAGAGAAGAACGTTTAGCTCGGTTTCTCGCCACTGTGGAAGTGTTGTTTGGAGAGTCATCATTTCGTTCTATAACTTGACTATTGGTGCAATTTATTAAACTCTTTGTCAACTCAATCCCCACTTGTGGATCTTTAGTGTAGGTTACCAGGAAAGGTGCTCTTCTTCCTCGGTTACCAATTCGGAAATCTTTGGAAAACGCACTAAAACCTTGTACAGACAGGCGAATGCCAAAATTTTGCCCTGTCTTTGCTTTCCACAATTTAACGACAGATGTTATGTCCAGGCTAATCCACCGACCTACTTTTTCTTTGTTGCTGACAAGACGAGAAGTGACAAAGACGCCGTTGTTTTTTTGCAGTTGACTGCTTTTGTTGCATGAAACGTCCAAACTGAATAGACGTATCATGAAGTTCCCTTCTGTGCTCTGCCTGAGTGGCTTCTTCTTAAAAATTCTCAGCTCAGCCTTCTTAATTTTCTCCTTGTTTGTTATTGCTGATAGGTTGAAGAAGAATCGGTGATGGAGTGGTCCTGATCTGTGTTCATCTTGCCCTGAGGCTGGAGTAAAGCAACAAAGTGTAAGACTCGCAATGTGCGGCATAGATTATTATGACATGTACCTGACTCTGTTGTCTACACTGGGTCCTTTTCTTGCAGCAGCTACTCAAGTCTACCTCATCAAATTACTTCTGAATCAGAGTATACTTACGTTCTCGCAAAAAGACTCTAACAATGTCGGAGACTCTTTTGTTCAATCTACCTCGCGGTACTAAATGCGTTCGCTGTCTGTACAAATCGAGCAGAAATCTTGGAACTTCGGCATCTTCCCTGCTCCATGTTTGCTGTTTCGCGGCCTTTCTGGCTTCGAATCCTCGAAGTAAGTTTTCGGAGAAGCTCAAATGTTTATCGGAGATTTCGTGGGAGAAATAGACTGACAAAATGAATATAAACACTGAATAGAGGGCGGCCATTTGATTTCGCTATACGGAATGTTGTTATCAAGTCAAGAGTTGAAAGTAGTGCACTGTTCATGAGATTGCCGCACCATCTAAATACTTCAATACCAGCTCTCTTTCGAACAGTCCAGCCGTCTTTTGAAAAGTTTAATTATAGGCGAGCGGCTCTCTTGATGTCTCATTCTAAAGGTTTAACTCATATCAGAGCTGAATATTTATGTGAATGGTTCAGTAAACTGCCCACGATGATATGACAGCGCTTCACGGTCCAATCCACATGCGTCAATAGATGACTAAAAAAACTCGTGAAAATCTGCTGAAGCGTTGAAGAAGCAGCGGAAATGTCTCTTAAAAGAAGATCAACTCCAATCTAAGCGACCATGTTTGGTCATCATTCACAAAGAACTGTAACTAAATAAGCGTGTCGAGACGCTAATTGCGGGTTTAAAATAGATCAAAGCCACCTCGTCTAACTTCTTGGACAAAAATGTTTAAGGTGAGAGTTTTGTCTACCGACATGCAAATTTCATTGTCAAACACAAAAAGTGCATAATTTAAGTATTTTGCTTAACACTTATACTATACCTAAAGCAATACTACTACTGTTCCATCTCAATGGCTTATTTATAGTGTAAGAGCTAAAGTACATAGTAACACATAAACACCTAATTGAGAAAACATTATTCTGTTAAATATACCAAACACACGTTAAGATGCAATTATAATCTGTAGTTACTAGATTAAATTAAACATTTTTTCTTTCCACAAGCAAAAGAATTTGAAAACCGAAAGCATTTACCCGCTTTATATATAGTTCCTACTCATTCTATACTTAAAAATGTTTTCGAAATGCCTAATCATTCACGGAAAAGGCATCTATTTTCGCACGTCCACCACTAGTTTTCAATAGCGATTTCCCCGCCCACAATAAACGCTAGATCGAATACACTAATACACTATAATGATTAAGCATTATATTTTTTAATCATTTTATTTAGCGCAGTATGAATAAGCAACAAGCAGCAATGAGCTCTTATTGACTTTAAGATGCCAAGTGGTGAGAAAGTTCTGCTCATTGCCGCCATTCACGTTGAAGGGGTTAAGATAAATTTAGTTTATACATAGAATTTACTCCACAAATCATCCAACACTTTCTGGGTAGAAAAAAGTTGAATGGGCGATGTTTGCAACATGTTTCACGGTAAGTTTAATTCGAAAAATTGATTATTTCCCCAACATCTAAAATGAGCGTGCAGAGGCGGTCTTTTACTGCTAAGAAAGCCGAGCCAAGAGAAGAATGGTTGTGCTCATCTGCTTCCAAAATTGTTGGAAAAGCTGAGGTACTGGTCAGCGGTACTGGGACTGAGCATGCTTGCTCTACGTTTTTCGTAGCTCGGCTTCCGCCATATTGTTACTGTTACTCGGCTGTAAGTATTGTTCCAGTTTGATTAAAAGCCTTGCACGAACCGGTCGTGCCTTGGATCTTGCTTTGCCTTATCTCCTCAACTAGTGCTAAAAAACGTCTGGCATTAGCCATATTCAGTTGTGGGGAAAAGTTGCAAATAATTATGGAAATCTTTAAGCTGTAAGAAAGTGATGTGAACAAGTGTCTCTTAACAGAAAAGTTTTTGAGAAATCAGCAATTTTCTGCTTCCTGTTGTTATTTACATGCAGCTCAAGTCAATCGTACAAACTCTCTTTGACTTTTGGACCATTAAGGAGTACCGTTCAAGCAAAAAATACAAGAAAATAGTTTTAAAAATAATTAACCAACGGTCAGAACGGAAGAAGTCATTTCGTCATCAATATTTACTATTGTTGAATAAATCTTCCCTCAAATAAAAGGACTCGGACTTTCATTTTATCCATTAACTGTCAAAATTAATAAACACTTGTTGATCTATTGGTCTCTGCAGGTAACCGTTGGAAAAAAGAAAGTACAAGCCTTAAGCGTACTCAGAGAATTCCGGGTCACTTGGACCAGTCCTGCAGGGGAAGCGGAGAAGGCCATAGTAGAAAACCCCATCTTTAAGTCAGAGAGTGTTGACGTACAGACAATTAACGTCGTTGAATTATAAAGTGTAAGGGTTAAAATTCTTTTATTTAATACAACTTTTGTTAACAATATCAGAGTCGTTTTCCTTGTTTCAATTATAAATTAGACAGATATTGTATGTGTAATATCGTTCCATCAATAGTTCATGTTCGTTTACAGCGTATTTAGACCATATTTCTTGATTCAAATCTAAGCACTTCACGAGATTTCCATATACGTAGGTACATGCACACGTTTTTTAGACCATAGGTTTTGTCTTAGTTATTTTTGTTTCATTATACTGTATCTGCACGAGATCTCTCATTTTCCCTTTAAGGGGCGTAGCGTGAGATTTTGAAGGTGTACGCAAGGGAAGACGAGTTAAAACACCAAAGCGCTCCAAGCAAGGGGGTCTGGGGGAATATTCCCCCAGATAATTTTTAAAGTTAGGCTCTCGGAAATGCTATTTCCTTGTGTTTGCCGCAGTACATTTTCAGTAAATAAATACGAAGGAAAAGGTGTGAAGGGGCAAAAAAGGATACATTTTATTTGTTCCTCATCAAACTATTTTGGTACCGTTTTTTGCCGTCCGTTTATGGAATAGTAAACGAATAAAGGAAATACTAACACAAAGACAACAATATAATGCGAAAAAGTTATCAGTCATCCCGTTTTAATGATCAAAACGACCAGGCGATAAAAAAAAATATATAACAGATCTCAGCTGTACGCAAGGGCGTATGTGCGTATATGGACACAACTCTCCTGCCTTTCTTTGAAATAAGGTAAATGTTCCGCCTATTTTACAAAATACAAAAGACTATGCTGAAATTGATGCCCCCATCTATATCTCAGGACATTTTTTGACAAGAGAAATTCTTTTCTTTTGATCCACTTGCAAAGAAGACACTTAACAAACGTTTTTCAAAGCACACGCCCTGGCTGACGTCATAGATTAAAACAGATGCACTGAGAAAATTGTTGCTAATGACGCATTTTGATCATTGCTTTGATATTTATTGCACATTGTTTGTCGAGGTGGAGTGAGGAGATAGTACGGTTCATTCCGTTAAATTTGGTACATGGTACACGCAGGTCACTAAAAGAGAAGATTAAGTAAAAAAAATTAAGAACTGATTGTGTTTCATAAGAGAGTGAATTAGGTGTTCTTACAAGGTTTCAATCAAAATGCTTTAATTATTCGTAATATACTTAGGAACTGCAGACAAAGAGGCAGTGTATTGATGGAAAACTAAAGTACAATTTCCTGTTTTGTCTCGCTGAATGAGAATTTTTCGCCCTCAGTTAATTGAGCTCCTTGTTTATACTGAGCTGGCAGGTCTTTGGGAGTCAATGAGATGGAACATGTGTAGGTTTTTCACTCACTTGTACAGCTAAAGCAATACCACGGTTTGCTGCTAAAAATTACAGGTCGGTTTAGCTAAATCGGGCATGCTGCGTCAACAAAACATAATATATACGTAAGTAACGTCTTTCCTCTTTTCATTGAAGGCATCTAATACGATTCTACAAATTTTATGTTGAAGTGTTCTTTTTTAATTGCAGTCCCCAAGTTGTAAGGGTTCTCATCACAAGCTGGCAAATCACATCTTGACTTTTATCTTAAGATATAAAGAAGAAGAGGAAAACCATGTTATAGTTCAGAGTAATAAAGTTAGTCTAATGAAAAAAAAAATTGTACATGTTATTATGCATCGGTGTCTCTACCTCAGTTTTGATTTTTTGGAAACACGTAGCAAATTACTATTGGCACCGTTTTCGTTAGATGCGTTACGTGCTTAATAAAATTAAAAAACTTGCAAAACACCAAGCTCACGCATTATCCATTTCACTAGGAGGTGAATATGTAACAATTATTGAATCAGGCTGAGTATGATGTGAAAAAATATGCAGATCGAGGTGGATAACAGCAGAATTCTTCACATTATTCAAAAACCGAATTTAATAATTGTTTTATTATTCATTAAAAATATTACTTAGTAATTAACAAGCTTGGTTTCCATGATAATCATCTCAATCGCCTCAAACACTGGAGGCGCGTGGTCTTCAGCGATGTTTCTGGGTTCGCCGCGAAAAAGAAACTCTTGCCCATGCTTTGCAAACAAGCCAAACACAATGGCGGATTTTAGTGGGAGATTTCTGGGATAGCCTTCGATTGTTCTAATCGTCTCAGTCGTCTGACAATGTGTCCTTACGATCGCTTCAAATTTTACGCGATCATTGCCATCGTCCGGATAGAACTCAATTCTATCCAAACGGTAGAGGTCGTCCCAGTCGTCAGGGTATTGTTGCCATATAGTCATCCCAATCGCCTGAACATTATTTGAGAAGACTGAGGTGATCATATGGAAAACGAGCTTTACCGCAGCCAGAGGCAGGTTCTCATCCGCCACAGCCTGAAGATGAGAACAAAAAAGCAGAAATTAAGGTTAAGGGCTCGGACAAGTTGGCGGAGATGGTCGCTTCTCCGGCTCAGAGCAACAACGGCGATGTTACAATTATTGTAATGACATAGTATCACGATGGTCAAGATACCTGTTTTCTTTATTGTGTGAATCTTAGAAGAACATTGCGCACATTGTGACGTCATAATTACATAATTTATGACAGACGAAGACGAAGCTGCCTTGATAGCAAAATTACAGGCCCTAGCTCCAGGTCACCGAAGAGTCTCCGGAAAAGAAAAAGGGCTTGGAGGACATGAATCGGTAGATACAGGAATCCGAATTCTGTATAGCTTGGCTGAATAGCCCGCCGTAGTTATGTGCCTCATCCTTCTGATTCGGCCATTTTGGCGCCTGAGAACATGCAAACCACTCCCAAAACTACCGCTGGATACGTTGCTCGCTGATAAAGAGTACTACAGCACTCTTTTCTTGAACAAGTGCTGGTAGTCAGGTAGTCTCCAAAAGTTCCTCTCAAGACTCCACCAGCAACACAGGAGTCGTTGATGTTTCTCAAACCGGCGTAGCTAACGAAAGGTTAGCGTGTGTTACCTATAATTGATTTCGGGGACTGTTTAGCCAACACAGAGTTGAGTAGTAGGTTTATTTGGGCCTCTCTGTGCTCAAGTTTGATGACAAGTTTCGTCAGCTTTGTATATTATCGATAAGGGGAATGCTGCCCATCCTCTTTAAAGCATGCAATTAGACTCCTGTTTTGGCTTTCAGCAATTTACAACTTCAGGTTCACTGCTGTTTATGCCGAGGGTCACCTCAACACCATTGTTGATGAAGTGTCTTGCTTGCATGAACCTTGCAAATATGTAGCCTTCTTCCATCATCCTCACCAGGTACAACCATACCAGCCTCCTGACAGTACTCCACTGACTCAGCAAATAACCTTAAGCAGCCGCAATTTCCTTTTTTCCAAGCTCTAAGGACCCCCACGTCGCACAGCAACTTCAAGATGAAAATTTCTCAGTGCCGGGTTCAAACCTTTGCTGATGGCACTAAAGCGTCGTATCGCACGCACAGGGCAAAGTATCTCCAGTTTTGTGAGCATATGGGTTACCCCCTCCCAGCTCAATCTTTCCATCTCTTTCAGTATGCAGCCTTTTTATCTCGCAGTCTCAAAGCCACTTCTATTCCAAATTACCTTTAATTTAATAATATTATCGGTCTACTTCTCCATAAGGAATTTAACCTGCCAAATCCCCTCATTGACAATTGGCCATTACAGTCTCTTTTAACTAGTATTATATGGGTTAAAGGTATGCCACCCGCCCAAAAACAACCCGTAACCCGTAGCATTTTGGGTCGTATTTACTCGAACCTCAAAAGTGTTGATGCCTTTTTCTGGGTTATCTGCTTGGTGTCACTTTTTGGTATGCTTCTTAAGAGCCATCTCATTGTTAAATCTGCACGTTCCTTTGATGCTTTCCAGAAACTATCGCGTTCTGGTTTAACCCATGGGGTAGTTTATGCCATAAAAATCGTCGGTTTAGAAACACATTACCTCTGTTGTTGTTTACATATTTTAAAAGTACATTTTATTGTGGCTTTTCAGGTTTTATTATAAGGTATTTAGAAAAATGGATATTAATTTGGTCAGTTCATAGCATGAATCAAGTGTCTCACTGTTTAGATTTTACGGCCTTAATACCCGCCGAAGAATAAATGAACTATTAGTTACCGAAACAGAAAAAATAATACGAAATTTGATTTTTTTGCATTATAAGTAGTTTTCAATCAAAGGAGCGTACTATTCATAAGTAAAAGTTTTCTATAGCATTTGCAAAGTCGTTCTGATTTAGGCGTAAAATACGACACTAATTTATGAATTTCGAAACTTCCCGAGCTTGATGGGCAAACCCTTGATGCATTTGCAGTGTGTAATGAAATGAGTAAAGTTACCAGTCCAAATATTTGCAACTGTTTATCAGAGTTGTAAGAAGCATTCAAATATAAATAGGAGAAGCAGAGTTTACTCTGCGATATATATTGAGGAACTCTGACTTTACTTTGCCCCGTTTTAACACGGTAAAATACAGGAAACACTCTCTGAAATATCTGGGACCTTTCTTGTGGTCTAGACTAACAAAAAAGGAACGTGACAAGAACAGCTTGAGTGCTTTTAAACGTTGTATAAAGAAAAGAGATTAATCAAATTTAATTTCAGATGGGGGATATAAAAACTGTCAGTTATGCAGTAGTTGAATGAAGCACTTGTGCCATTTTAGTTCTTTATTTAACTTTTAAATATTGTTAAAGAAATTTAACAAATTCAACTTTGGATGGGGATGTAAAAACTGTCAGTTATGCAATAGTTGAATTAATCACTTGTGCTACTCTTATTTATTTATTTATTTTTAATTTTTACTAATATTAAATGTTCTAGCGGAGCTCTAGCGCGCGCCAAGCGCGCTCCAGCGAAGCACCATGGGTAAGTAAATCTACCCATCCCCGAAAAGTTGGTAATCACGTGACCCTACAACGCCCGCCCGTCCGTCCGCACCACAGGCATACCAATGTTTAATCTCACACTTTCTAGCTATTAAAATGTAGTTTGGGAGCCCAGCAAACTCACATTGCACTCATATTGCACATCAATGTTGTGATCAATTGCAGCTGTCAAAACAGGGTATCCAGCGACCAGTATCAGCTGACCGTTTCGCGGGTTCAGAGAGATCGAGTATTATTTTTTGAAGTTATCCAGTTTTTCTTAAAAAATTCATATGAAACTATATGAAATAAGCTGTGTTTCATGATGTGCCGCATCATTATAATTTAGGTTTCAAACTGACCTCGGACTCGAAAATTTAGCCAGCTATTACAGGCAGAGAGGACAGTTGCTTTTGGTCACGCTCTACGTCCAATTTTTATGCTCTGATTGGTCAAAATGCATGCAGCATCTTGAAACTTGTTTACTGATAGTTGAAGCTAACAGCATTTTGTGTCAACTTGTGATGTTTTTAACTATCTTTTTCCACTGAATGTACAAAATTGTATACAGATGCTATCAAGAGTCGTCTGTTATTCATGTCTGGTGTTTATTGGGTTTTTGGTTGAGAAATGCGCCGCTTGTCAAAGTTGGAAATCCGATTTCGGATAGCATCACCTTGCTTGATGCGTAAAAGGGTTGAAAAGTCTCAAGCGATTCTGGCTTTACTTGACCGCATTCAGGAGCTGCATCTCGAATGGTAAGTCTGAGTAATTATTGCATTTGATGTTTTTTTTTCTAATTTCATGAAGCTTAAGTCGAGTGTCGAATAGTCTATCAGATGCACGTTTGTAAAACTATACACAATGACCTGACCTAGTGCCAGGTTTGGTATAAGCTTATAACTTAAGCTTACAGAACCTTAAAAAGCCTTTAGTCTTTTTCTCATCGCAAATGGAAAGAAAAGGTTCCGAAGAATATTAAGTTATAATATAGGCTGTAAAAAAGAATGCTTTGAGCGATTTTCTCGATTAAATGTTTCTTGGCACGATTTTGTAAAGCAAACTTGTCGAACGCAAAAAATTCGGCCTGATTTTTTTATTATGGCCTTCCTTTTTGATAAAGGAATCGGCAAGTTAACGTATAAATTACAACGTGTAAATTAGCTGCCATCGAGGACTAGCACAAGTTAAATTTCGTTGTTGTCCAATTAACCTTATTAAATACATGTAAAGGTGGTGTAGGTTGGTGACTGGGTTGTTTTGTTTGGGAAGAATTTGTTTTCCAGGCTTATTATGATCAAGAGCCATTATGCTCTTGACTGTAATCGATTGCTATTTTTTGGGTGTACTTTTAAGGCTATGTGTAACTCAATGTAAGATTTGTTTCACCGGCTTGAACTAATTGCAAATTAGCTTTTTTCTAAAATCACTCAGTCTCTCCCTCAAAAGTCACATGCACCAACATGCATGAAGTTAACTGATCAGTGTGGATTACAAGTTTATTGTTTGATTTAAATTATAAATTTATTAATGGGAGCTTCGCTTTAAGCCCTTGCTAAATCTATATATTATGTTACTACTGAGGGGACCATTATCTTTGTAAGTATCTTTCTATAACCTTTACATCTTACTGTAAAGACTTATTTTATAGTAACACAGTTTCACCAATTAGTGTGATTATACGCTAGAACATTTGACCCTTAAATAAAGTTTTACAACTAATACTTTCCTCCTTTCTCCCATTACTTTTTACCACTTCTGCGTTGGCGTTTTATTTGGTGTAACATACTTGAAATCTCTTTTCCTAGTTAAATGTACTCTTCTAAAGACCTTGATACTGAGATGTAGCTTGCTTTGATCTCTAATATGAAGATATGCAAGTTATTAGCTCTTCCGCGACTGACCAAGAAACGCGTGATTCCCCCTGGTCGCACTAACTTCCACAGTATAGGCATATAGGCTCTCGGAATATGCATTGAATATTCTTTATGGCATAAAAAGTCATTTGTACCATTAGTAACCCTATAGAACTAACAAATTTATATTATTTAAAGCTGTACAAATTCGTTTCAGTGTCACTAAGACATTGACGACAAACGTGGACAAAGCACGACTAACCGCTGAACTGATGTAAAACGTGTATCATCTAGAACGGAAAATGGAAACCAAGTGGACAAATGTTTAAAATTAACGACAGTATCTTTGATGTCCCTTAACTGGTATCTGAAGGTTAAAGCAACGATTTCTTCAAAATTACATCAAATACTGAATTGAAGTCATTTCTTTTCTCTTCAAAAGGACAAGGACGATAAGAATTCCGTTCCTCACTGCCACCCCGTAAAGGATGTTTTTTTTTTTATTCGGGCAAAGTTGGTACTCCAACACGTTGAATTCGTTTTAATTTCTCCGGTTCCTGAGCAGGGTGATATTCTTGCACCGCATTCGCAGCACCAGGAAAAAGATTAGAATTTGATACAACCCTTCCGTTTTGAGACTGATGGGCTTGCGGACCATTTATTGGGTAACTATAAGAAACTGATGAACTTATCAGGTTGTCACCATCCAGGGATTTCGAACGATACCAAGTGACTCCCTCAGTATTGTAGTCTTCTTTGGGGATTGGAAATGGAGGTGGACTTGATGAATCCCACAACTCTACTTCCTTGACAGGTATCAATACATCACCGTCGGATCTCCTTGGGACATACTTCATTGGTACGTTTTTCCTGGGATGAGGAGCGGTCATATATCCCATAGGAAAGTGTCCAGCAGCATCGTGAGATCGAGGTGGAATCATTCCTAATCTCGCCATTCTTTCCTCAGCTGAATTCGATCCTTCGATTCTGGTGGGTTGGAGTGGCAAACTTCCTCGCCGCCACTCGAATTCTGAAGAACTTTGAGACCTGCCATATCTGTTTGCAGAAGAGGGTCTTGAGTTGTCAAGTTCTTTGGAATACCTAGCTAACGACCTCCCAACAACGAAGGGCTCGTTACCAGTTACTCTTGTTAACGTACCCGGTGAGGAGCGTACTGATTCCTCTTGTGATTTCTCTACTAAATACCAATTGGGATTTGTGTGCGCGGAACTACTTGACATAGTGCTTGAAGGTTCCACTCCCACCAAGACCTGACTGCGGTCCAAAGTTGCCATACGCCTTTGCAATCGTTCCTCGCGTTTCCTCATACGATCTTTCCTAGAGTAATGCAAGAAATGAGAAAATTAAACGAACCATTTCCCCTCAAATCGAATAGCACTAAGAAAACTGTCATTTCAGCTAGTATCTAGTTACGCTATACTCGTTTATCTTTAGTCTAGTAAGTTTGTTTTCACTATATCCTTTGTCAGCATTACGTTTTTGTCTTCGTTGCTTTCTAGAAGCAGCGTAACTTAGAATTTGTCTTGCGATGTAGTCGCTTGTAGTCTCCTTCGCAGCCTCTCGGGCCGGGGAGCATTGCGTGACTCCGGCGCGAGCGGCTGGGAAGAGTCTAAGTCACTTGTGATCATCGCCTGCTTGCTGCTTATCGTCATCAGCTAATGACGTCACGGGTTGCGCATCACCATGCAAAACACTATGCACTGCTAATTTGTCATTTCGATCTTCGCTGTTTCGATGACTTGTTCCCTTGGTGGTTCGATGTCGTACGAATCTTCTCCTGACAAATTGCGTTGATTAACAGAATTCTCTTTGAGTGCAAGGTTTCATTAACTTTGCGGGACTGGAATACCATTGCCGTTTCAGAGCACGCGTAGAGCACTGGTTACCACACGCTTTGATCAAGATCCTTGCTGGACACACAGGGTCCAACAGTCATATGACTTAACCCTAACACCATTAACAGGATTAGTGGCATAGAACCACTAGGAACATGGATTGTCACGTTCAAGAAATACAACAGTGATGAATACTATTTGAAATAAACCCAACACGGGGTTAAAACGAACAAGTGTAAATAAATATAATGTCTTAAATACCTGGCCCACAAAGTGCAAAATATCACTAGGATACATATAAGAACCACAATTAACGCTGCTAATCCTGCAACGAGGCCAATGAACCAGGGCTCCTCTAACACCATGATCTGAAATTCAATCAATACAAGAAAATCTCAATGAACAAGAACTTGAAAATAAAGAAAAAGTTCATCAGTATGCCTTATATCAGTAAACGCCACAGAATTTGAAAGAACTTTAAACAGCAGCGATCTTCAGTCATAATTTGAAAACATCATAGTAACTTGTTAAAGCTGTTGTATTTGGCATTACTTTTGGCTTAATTTGTACAACTGATTAACAGTTAATGACAAAACAAACATCATATCAAGAAATATTTAATGAATATCTCCCGGATATCTGTCAGTTGGATACAGAATCATCAACATTAACGTTGAACTTTTCTAACTTTAATCCAAACTTTACCATCAAAGTACTGCAACAACAAGTCGCAATATGTGAATAAAGGAATGTTGAATGAATGAATGAATAAGTAAACAAATACTTAAATATGTAAAATATTTGTAAAGAGAACAAGAAAAAATAAATGAACAAAAGTAAAGCAGGTAAAAAACGTAGTTCACCAGGCTGGTCTTACTTTTATTAACATAAAAAGTTCAATCCTTTGTTTTTATACCCCCCAAACTCTTTCTCTTTGATTTCAAAGGCGATGCGTAGTTTACCCGATGAAATGCTTGAATGAAGCTATTCATCGTAAAGAATGATAATAATAGTCGAGCTAAGGCGTTGATCTAACGATTTTTTGAAATCTGTGCATTCCGGGATAAAAACTATAAACTGAATAAAATGCGTAAAATAATATAAAAGAACAATATTAGCTAGTTTCTGAATCAAGAGACCACTGGTTTTATTCAAGAAGGCCGTTTACATTGTTGACGGCAATTTTTGTGTCCCATTTTTACTACCAACGCGAAAACGTCTCACTGCTATTATATGAATAATAGTATTTGGCCAATATGCATTTCGCTAGTCTTCAATCAGTGTAATCTGCATTATTAGAACACTATATTTGCAGCAGAAACGAATTACCATTTAGCAAATACGCAGGAGCGGTAACTCGTAGCGAAAAAATTTTGTTCCTTTCTTGAGGTGTTTCTCGTGATGTGTCAGATACCACACGGTCTACAAGACATTCACAACTTTTCTTATTTGAACAAAATGTAGGGTACGTCTGCTGCCCATTATAACAACTACTGTTAACAAGTGTCGATACCATAGAAAATTATCCGATCATTCGTGTTACCATTACAATCCCTAAATATATGAATGGCGTGAATCTGACTAGGCTACGTGAATACCACTAACCTCTTTCAATTCCTCTATCGCGCACTGGCGTGAAACATTCTGTTATAGATGTTAACAAAGAGTAAAAGTAAAAGTCGTTCAAGCGCAATTATCACTTGGCCTTCTCTGATCGTGGCTGACAAATAAATGCAAAATAACAAAGCGATATGACCGCCTCTTGCTGGAGGCATGCATGCGTTTCATTCTTTGTTGAGTGTTTGTTTCATGCATTCACGGATGAAGGCATAACTGTATCCACAAATTCCTTTTTTTTTTCCTGGTTTCGTCGTGATGAAGTAATCTACAAAAAATCGCATACTCTTTCTGATCAGCTTTTTACAAACACTGGAATTCTTACTGGTTTGATGCTTTAGTAAGCCGTTTGAAAATATTGGAGCCTTAATGTCAATACTGAATGAAAATTCTTTTTCATTTATATACACTCTAATGAAAGAATACTTGTCTTTCAAATAACTAAGTCATAATGCTTCCGTCGCGAGCAAATTTTTCTGTACTGAAATCAGCACTTGACTTAATCAAAGCATGAATGAAACTTGTCTGGTACGTGACTGAGCGGAGAAAAGGCCAGAGACAAGGCTATTTTAACCATCTTCCTGATCAGGAGATAAGGGCGCACGTTTGGATCGATAAAAACTACCTCAAACTCAATATCATTACAACGCATTTGTGACAAAGTCGTAATTAAAGAAAAACTTCTGAATGGAATAGGACATAAAAACGACAGCACTGGACACTGCTCTATTCCATATTTGTGTGCTTTATAAAAAACACAATAAAAAGCTCAGCATTTTTCTCTTTTTTTTTTTTTGCTTTTCTTCAGTATTTGATATTTGCTAGGTGTTGTTGTTCGGGTGTTGGTATGTGCCAGCTGAAAATACAGTGCCATTTTGTACATATGCAGCTTGAAAACTTGACCCTTTTATGCAAGGAACAGTTCTGACTACGGGCTTGAACTCTTTCCTCCCTTCATTTTGGGCCCAACTTATTACTTCCCAGCCCTACTACGCAAAGGACCACAAAGAAAAACATCCGTGTCAGTACCTCAAACGCTAAAATTGCCCTGTTAGTTATTTATATGCGCATGAAGACGTGGTCTTTAAAGTGAGTTCACGAAAAGCCGAGTATTGAAAACGTTCTTATCAACGTTTTTTATTTATCTTTTCTTACCAGGTTTTTTTTTTCTGACTGACCCCAATGAAATAAAGTTGTCAAAAAAAAAAAAAAATGAAACCTGAAAAATAATAACAAACTGGAATTATAGACCTTTTCGGCTTGTATGTTGTTTGTTTTCAGTTCAGACCACGTGATGCTCTCAAGCGAATTTTCGTAAATTATTCATACGTCTATGCACGTAGATAAGACGACATTAGAATGAAACAGTTCTCTGGGGGTAACATCAGGTGCTGTAAAATGGGAAAACATACAAACTGTAAAGGTCTAGTAATTAGCTTTGAACTCCAAAGTTTCTTTTATTAACTTTAAACACGTACAACATCACTTGATCTGGCGGAGATGTATTAATTATATCAAGATTCCTAACGGCAGAGCGTTTCGTTTCGAACATTGTCTATAAATTTTTCTATCAGACCTACATGTGACGCTTTTATGTGTCTCGAAAAAGAATTATACTGGACAAGTAGGAATATCGGCGATGTTATAAATACTTAACAAACCAGGAAGAAAAGGAATACAGCGTCAAAGGTGATAATTGGGTGACAATCATGTTAAGTCACACGTAATTGGTCACGCCATTTTTTTCTGTATTCGTTATTGAAGCAATTACAACTTTAAAATCCCTATCTTCTTCTTGGACGCATTTTAATAAGTTTAAATTATAAGCTAAAGAGAAACGTATTAAATAGTTCAGACCTCGAAAACAATTTCGTCTGCGTAAAGGGCTTTATGGGTAATAGTACATGGGTTAAAATGGACACAAATGACGACATTTTAGCGACAGATAATAAAAATAAAACTATGTTTTGTATTTGTGTACATAAATATGGAGATTTGCGTTCATATGACGAAAAACACTGCTTGGAAATCACTTTCTTAAAGCGAAGAGTTTAGATTTGCGCCCTCTTAATAAGAATATTTTATTATTTTACTTCTCATGGGAAAACGGAAAATGTTGAAATAATAATATGAATTAAATACTTAAAGTAATATCAGATATTGTAATTAGCATGAATTTAATGCGGAACTGTAGAGCAGCACGCAATCACAGGCGATTGTAAACACGTTAACTTCATTTCACTGTACTAATAACGATTAAATAAACCATTTCCTAAAAGATCAGTTTATCAAATTTCAATACTTGAAGCAGCTAAACCACACTCAACAACATCTTTACAAGACTGATAATAATGGAGTTTAAGATCTACATTGTAGCTATATCGATAAAGTACTTCAAAGTTTTAAAAACACGTACCTAATTTTAAATCTATGCAAAATGCACCTCGCCTCAACCGCAGTCAGTAGTGTTAATTTTCCCTGGACTGTTATCAATTTTTTTTTGCGTCTCCGTCTTTGTGAAGGGTTAGTTTGGATATAATTTGGGCCTGTTCTGTTCCCCATACACCGAGTCGGTAGAATGAATAATTAGTTTTTTCACTCCGGATTTTTATTGATTGCTTAGCCACCATTGGTTGTCTCCACAAGACAATGGATGTCGTCAACGGTTGTTAAAACTGTATCCGTTATGAAAATAATGCTACAATGGTGGTAAATGCTGACATCACTAAAAACTGCAGTATCACACATGTTTCTCAATGGTCAAAAAAGACCATTAAGCTAATTGTTTCAAACATCACTATCAAGAGGGAGAAATGATAAGTTTCAAATAACTTTGAAACTTATCATTTATCACTCTTGATAATGATGTCCTAGTTAAACATCGAAACGTCGGGTAGCTTTTTTAAGTATTATTTTTCCTGTTAACTGCTCCAATAAGCAATTGATTATCGGATTTCTTTCAAACCCTACATAATTTTCAGCCATTTCTGTTGAGTCCTTAAATATATCAAAAAATGGAGCACCGAGAAACATCTTCAGAGAAACATTTCAGTCCCTGCTCGCATAGTCATTCATTACTAGTATGATAATTATCGGAGTTATGATTCAGGTAGTAGGCAATTTTTCTGGCGACTTCTATAAATTTATTGCAATTTTGTTGCAATAGAAATTGCTTACAAACTGATTGCCTTGTGCAACACTCCCTGAGATGAATATGCCTTGCAACATTCCACACTACTCCTCATTAACAACTTGTCTGAAAATGCTTTTCCTTTTTCCAAGTTAATCAAAAGTAGGTTGTGGTTATTTCCCCTCTCCCTCCTTCCTTTTCCCGGCGGATCTCCAAATTATACAAGACACAACAACTGGTTACAAGTCTGAATTTAGCAACTGAAGAATTAATTGCGAGACAAGTTGGTTAAGATTTTCAAGTGCAATAGCTGCATATTTACTGGTGGCTGTTGGTCAGCTCACACTGGGTAGCCCGACCTTAAACGGAACGGATCCATTTTAGTTTGTTTCATAATTTTTATAACATTCAGATATAGTTCTGAGCATTCCGAGGGCATTCGTCAATTTTGTTTCTCCAAGGGTCATGTTCATTTCTCAGGGGCACCCAAAGACAATTTTCGGAAGAATATCTGTTCGGAAGACGATTTGAGATCTAGAATTTTCGAAACATTTGTTGTAAAATTTCTTGCTTGCCTGCCTCTCCTAGGATTTTCGAACATCTAAAAAATGGCATAATTGCCTAGAATTTTCGGGGGCCTCTTTTCTGGCTGAAATTTTCGAAAAGGTAAGTTTTAATCCCTATAATTTTCAGATCACTAGACTTTCAGCTAGGAAATCCGAACAGATGAAAAATTTTTAGGGGATAAAAATATGCCTATATCTACCGTTTAAATACTAAAATACGTTTAAGAATGCTATGTTTAAGTGGTTTTGAACTATACTCTCGTTGGGTGCCCCTGATTGCTCATTTGTGAAAAGACGAAAATGTTTGACAACAGAAAGTTTAAAAGAGTTCAATGTGTCAATTTCAACGAATGACGTGCGCATCAAACCATTCATACAAAAATAAAAAAAAGTTCGTGGTACCATTAGAAAGCCGATCATGATCGTCCCTCATTTCACTCGGCGGTCGCGAGCGCGCTGTGATGTTATTTCACAAATATCGGCACGTGCATCTTCACGAAACGTTGGGAATGGTTTTCACACCGCAGCGCTGGGGATCAATTTTTTAGAGTCAATATACGATCCTAATTATCATTTCACTGGGTGCTAGATTAAAAGTTAAGATCACGTAAGCTTTGTTGCGAGTTGTATGACCATCGGAAAACTCCACAGTACTCTGGTCAAGACCACCTTGTTTTCTTGCTAAAGTAAATACGTCCATAAGGCTCACTAGTGCAGAAACGTTGGCTTTGTTAGTCCTATTTCCTCTTGCAGCTAAGTAATTCCATGGACTGACCAACTTGGAGTTATTAGATCATGATATCAGACATGGTTGTTAAAAAATGTACCGATCAAGATGGCCCACGTAAACCAGTCGCATTAATGATTGTCCGGCGGATATGGAACTGAACATTTATTATCAATTTTCCTTTCAGAAATTAAAGGAGCCTATTGTGCCCAAATCTAATTACGTGATAGTAGTGTCGTCCATCAACCATCTCCACGGAAATGAACCACAATTAACGCTGCTAATCCTGCAACGAGGCCAATGAACCAGGGCTCCTCTAACACCATGATCTGAAATTCAATCAATACAAGAAAATCTCAATGAACAAGAACTTGAAAATAAAGAAAAAGTTCACCGGTTGCTTTATATCAGTAAACGCCACCGAATTTGAAAGAACTTTAAACAGCAGCGATCTTCAGTCATAATTTGAAAACATCATAGTAACTTGTTACAGCTGTTGTATTTGGCATTACTTTTGGCTTAATTTGTACAACTGATTAATAGTTAATGACAAAACAAACATCATATCAAGAAATATTTAATGAATATCTCCCGGATTAACGCTGAACTTTTCCAACATTAATCCAAACTTTACCATCAAAGTACTGCAACAACAAGTCGCAATATGTGAATAAAGGAATGTTGAATGAATGAATGAATAAGTAAACAAATACATAAATATGTAAAAAAAATTTAAAGAGAACAAGAAAAAATAAATGAACAAAAGTGAAGCAGGTAAAAAACGTAGTTCACCAGTCTGGTCTTACTTTTGTTAACACAAAAAGTTCAATCCTTTGTTTTTATACCCCCCAAACTCTTTCTCTTTGATTTCAAAGGCGATGCGTAGTTTACCTGATGAAATGCTTGAATGAATCTAGTCATCGTAAAGAATGACAATGATAGTCGAGCTAAGGTGTTGATCTGACGATTTTTTGAAATCTGTGCATTCCGGGATAAAAACTATAAACTGAATAAATGCGTAAAATAATATAAAAGAGCAATATTGGCTAGTATCTGAATCAAGAGACCACTGGTTTTATTCAAGAAGACCGTTTACATTGTTGACGGCAATTTTTTGTGTCCAATTTTTACTACCAACGCGAAAACTTCTCACTGCTATTATATGAATAATAGTATTTGGCCAATATGCATTTCGCTAGTCTTCAATCAGTGTAATCTGCATTATGAGAACACTATATTTGCAGCAGAAACGAATTACCATTTAGGAAATACGCAGGAGCGGTAACTCGTAGCGAAAAAATTTTGTTCCTTTCTTGAGGTCTTTCTCGTGACGTGTCAGATACCACACGGTCTACAAGACATTTACAACTTTTCTTATTTGAACAAAATGTAGGATACGTCTGCTGCCCATTATAACAACTACTGTTAACAAGTGTCGATACAATAGAAAATTATCCGATCATTCGTGTTACCATTACAATTCCCCAAATATTTGAATGGCATGAATCTGACTAAGCTACGTAAATACTACTAACCTCTTTCAATTCCTCTATCTCGCACTGGCGTGAAACATTCTGTTATAGATTTTAACACAGAGTAAAAGTAAAAGCCGTTCAAGCGCAATTATCACTTGGCCTTCTCTGATCGTGGCTGACAAATAAATGCAAAATAACAAAGCGATATGACCGCCTCTTGCTGGAGGCATGCATGCGTTTCATTCTTTGTTGAGTGTTTGTTTCATGCATTCACGGATGAAGGCATAACTGTATCCACAAATTCCTTTTTTTTTTCCTGGTTTCGTCGTGATGAAGTAATCTACAAAAAATCGCATACTCTTTCTGATCAGCTTTTTACAAACACTGGAATTCTTACTGGTTTGATGCTTTAGTAAGCCGTTTGAAAATATTGGAGCCTTAATGTCAATACTGAATGAAAATTCTTTTTCATTTATATACACTCTAATGAAAGAATACTTGTCTTTCAAATAACTAAGTCATAATGCTTCCGTCGCGAGCAAATTTTTCTGTACTGAAATCAGCACTTGACTTAATCAAAGCATGAATGAAACTTGTCTGGTACGTGACTGAGCGGAGAAAAGGCCAGAGACAAGGCTATTTTAACCATCTTCCTGATCAGGAGATAAGGGCGCACGTTTGGATCGATAAAAACTACCTCAAACTCAATATCATTACAACGCATTTGTGACAAAGTCGTAATTAAAGAAAAACTTCTGAATGGAATAGGACATAAAAACGACAGCACTGGACACTGCTCTATTCCATATTTGTGTGCTTTATAAAAAACACAATAAAAAGCTCAGCATTTTTCTCTTTTTTTTTTTTTGCTTTTCTTCAGTATTTGATATTTGCTAGGTGTTGTTGTTCGGGTGTTGGTATGTGCCAGCTGAAAATACAGTGCCATTTTGTACATATGCAGCTTGAAAACTTGACCCTTTTATGCAAGGAACAGTTCTGACTACGGGCTTGAACTCTTTCCTCCCTTCATTTTGGGCCCAACTTATTACTTCCCAGCCCTACTACGCAAAGGACCACAAAGAAAAACATCCGTGTCAGTACCTCAAACGCTAAAATTGCCCTGTTAGTTATTTATATGCGCATGAAGACGTGGTCTTTAAAGTGAGTTCACGAAAAGCCGAGTATTGAAAACGTTCTTATCAACGTTTTTTATTTATCTTTTCTTACCAGGTTTTTTTTTTCTGACTGACCCCAATGAAATAAAGTTGTCAAAAAAAAAAAAAAATGAAACCTGAAAAATAATAACAAACTGGAATTATAGACCTTTTCGGCTTGTATGTTGTTTGTTTTCAGTTCAGACCACGTGATGCTCTCAAGCGAATTTTCGTAAATTATTCATACGTCTATGCACGTAGATAAGACGACATTAGAATGAAACAGTTCTCTGGGGGTAACATCAGGTGCTGTAAAATGGGAAAACATACAAACTGTAAAGGTCTAGTAATTAGCTTTGAACTCCAAAGTTTCTTTTATTAACTTTAAACACGTACAACATCACTTGATCTGGCGGAGATGTATTAATTATATCAAGATTCCTAACGGCAGAGCGTTTCGTTTCGAACATTGTCTATAAATTTTTCTATCAGACCTACATGTGACGCTTTTATGTGTCTCGAAAAAGAATTATACTGGACAAGTAGGAATATCGGCGATGTTATAAATACTTAACAAACCAGGAAGAAAAGGAATACAGCGTCAAAGGTGATAATTGGGTGACAATCATGTTAAGTCACACGTAATTGGTCACGCCATTTTTTTCTGTATTCGTTATTGAAGCAATTACAACTTTAAAATCCCTATCTTCTTCTTGGACGCATTTTAATAAGTTTAAATTATAAGCTAAAGAGAAACGTATTAAATAGTTCAGACCTCGAAAACAATTTCGTCTGCGTAAAGGGCTTTATGGGTAATAGTACATGGGTTAAAATGGACACAAATGACGACATTTTAGCGACAGATAATAAAAATAAAACTATGTTTTGTATTTGTGTACATAAATATGGAGATTTGCGTTCATATGACGAAAAACACTGCTTGGAAATCACTTTCTTAAAGCGAAGAGTTTAGATTTGCGCCCTCTTAATAAGAATATTTTATTATTTTACTTCTCATGGGAAAACGGAAAATGTTGAAATAATAATATGAATTAAATACTTAAAGTAATATCAGATATTGTAATTAGCATGAATTTAATGCGGAACTGTAGAGCAGCACGCAATCACAGGCGATTGTAAACACGTTAACTTCATTTCACTGTACTAATAACGATTAAATAAACCATTTCCTAAAAGACCAGTTTATCAAATTTCAATACTTGAAGCAGCTAAACCACACTCAACAACATCTTTACAAGACTGATAATAATGGAGTTTAAGATCTACATTGTAGCTATATCGATAAAGTACTTCAAAGTTTTAAAAACACGTACCTAATTTTAAATCTATGCAAAATGCACCTCGCCTCAACCGCAGTCAGTAGCGTCAATTTTCCCTGGACTGTTATCAATTTTTTTTTTGCGTCTTCGTCTTTGTGAAGGGTTAGTTTGGATATAATTTGGGCCTGTTCTGTTCCCCACACACCGAGTCGGTAGAATGAATAATTAGTTTTTTCACTCCGGATTTTTATTGATTGCTTAGCCACCATTGGTTGTCACCACAAGACAATGGATGTCGTCAACGGTTGTCAAAACTGTATCCGTTATGAAAATAATGCTACAATGGTGGTAAATGCTGACATCACTAAAAACTGCAGTATCACACATGTTTCTTAATGGTCAAAAAAGACCATTAAGCTAATTGTTTCAAACATCACTATCAAGAGGGAGAAATGATAAGTTTCAAATAACTTTGAAACTTATCATTTATCACTCTTGATAATGATGTCCTAGTTAAACATCGAAACGTCGGGTAGCTTTTTTAAGTATTATTTTTCCTGTTAACTGCTCCAATAAGCAATTGATTATCGGATTTCTTTCAAACCCTACATAATTTTCAGCCATTTCTGTTGAGTCCTTAAATATATCAAAAAATGGAGCACCGAGAAACATCTTCAGAGAAACATTTCAGTCCCTGCTCGCATAGTCATTCATTACTAGTATGATAATTATCGGAGTTATGATTCAGGTAGTAGGCAATTTTTCTGGCGACTTCTATAAATTTATTGCAATTTTGTTGCAATAGAAATTGCTTACAAACTGATTGCCTTGTGCAACACTCCCTGAGATGAATATGCCTTGCAACATTCCACACTACTCCTCATTAACAACTTGTCTGAAAATGCTTTTCCTTTTTCCAAGTTAATCAAAAGTAGGTTGTGGTTATTTCCCCTCTCCCTCCTTCCTTTTCCCGGCGGATCTCCAAATTATACAAGACACAACAACTGGTTACAAGTCTGAATTTAGCAACTGAAGAATTAATTGCGAGACAAGTTGGTTAAGATTTTCAAGTGCAATAGCTGCATATTTACTGGTGGCTGTTGGTCAGCTCACACTGGGTAGCCCGACCTTAAACGGAACGGATCCATTTTAGTTTGTTTCATAATTTTTATAACATTCAGATATAGTTCTGAGCATTCCGAGGGCATTCGTCAATTTTGTTTCTCCAAGGGTCATGTTCATTTCTCAGGGGCACCCAAAGACAATTTTCGGAAGAATATCTGTTCGGAAGACGATTTGAGATCTAGAATTTTCGAAACATTTGTTGTAAAATTTCTTGCTTGCCTGCCTCTCCTAGGATTTTCGAACATCTAAAAAATGGCATAATTGCCTAGAATTTTCGGGGGCCTCTTTTCTGGCTGAAATTTTCCAAAAGGTAAGTTTTAATCCCTATAATTTTCAGATCACTAGACTTTCAGCTAGGAAATCCGAACAGATGAAAAATTTTTAGGGGATAAAAATATGCCTATATCTACCGTTTAAATACTAAAATACGTTTAACAATGCTATGTTTAAGTGGTTTTGAACTATACTCTCGTTGGGTGCCCCTGATTGCTCATTTGTGAAAAGACGAAAATGTTTGACAACAGAAAGTTTAAAAGAGTTCAATGTGTCAATTTCAACGAATGACGTGCGCATCAAACCATTCATACAAAAATAAAAAAAAGTTCGTGGTACCATTAGAAAGCCGATCATGATCGTCCCTCATTTCACTCGGCGGTCGCGAGCGCGCTGTGATGTTATTTCACAAATATCGGCACGTGCATCTTCACGAAACGTTGGGGATGGTTTTCACACCGCAGCGCTGGGGATCAATTTTTTAGAGTCAATATACGATCCTAATTATCATTTCACTGGGTGCTAGATTAAAAGTTAAGATCACGTAAGCTTTGTTGCGGAAAACTCCACAGTACTCTGGTCAAGACCACCTTGTTTTCTTGCTAAAGTAAATACGTCCATAAGGCTCACTAGTGCAGAAACGTTGGCTTTGTTAGTCCTATTTCCTCTTGCAGCTAAGTAATTCCATGGACTGACCAACTTGGAGTTATTAGATCATGATATCAGACATGGTTGTTAAAAAATGTACCGATCAAGATGGTCCACGTAAACCAGTCGCATTAATGATTGTCCGGCGGATATGGAACTGAACATTTATTATCAATTTTCCTTTCAGAAATTAAAGGAGCCTATTGTGCCCAAATCTAATTACGTGATAGTAGTGTCGTCCATCAACCATCTCCACGGAAAAGTCCACAGATCTTATCTGTACCTTCAAAAGCACTAGCTGCGACATTGAAAATTACTTTCGAAGGTAGAGAAACGAGGTTAGGTCAGGGGTTTAAGTCTCATGTGCACTCAAATATCTAGCACACCATCGAGTTGGCACCGTGAGCACTTATTCTTACTAAGTAATCTAGTATAGGCTTGGCTAATAAAACAGTCTTACTAGTTTCAATACGGTTCAGATTTCGTCTCCTGTACTAAAAGATTTGCAGCTGTTTGTTTTATAAGCGAGTAAAAAAAAAACAAAAAAAAAAAACACTCGTATCATATGCTTCCGATGACTGAACTAAAAGTTCAAAAAAGCAAATTTCTAGTTTTTCTTTCTTGTCACGAGCAAATTGAATACAGTCATCTTCTAATCTTTCGCACGTACCAATATATATAAATTTTCTTTTGTTTGAAGCATCTTTTCGGGCTCGAACGATAATATTGTATGTATTTAAAAGTTCTGTTTGGTAGTTATTATGTGTTTAAGGTCCTCTGGAGGAAAAAAAACTTATGATTTAATCTCAACAGTTTTACGGTCAAAACAAACAAGGAATATTTTCGAATGGGTTTTTAAAATACTTGATGGCAATTTTACTACCCTACGTTTGCTAAATAACTAAAGTTGAGATCCAACGAAATTCAGTCTCGAGAATGCAGTTTGATGTTCAGTTCTTTACTATCAGTACTATTTCAGTGCTGCTCTATCTGTCAGACCGTCATGTTGTACGTAGAACGGTGCCGACTCTAAAGTTAAAATTAGGGTTAGGAAACTAAGTAAATCAATTTCCTGTCATTATACAGGGCAAACTGTACTGGAACTTGGTTCTCTATCCCTTATCACTAAACTGAGTCATCTGGTCTTTGGCGGCCGCCAGTTCGGCGTTCTGCAAAATACCCCTGTCGACTGCCGCATCAGTTCAGTTGCAGGTGTTTTGTCTTTTTGACCACTATTAATTGCTCGGATTAACCGTCTGTTTTGTTGATTACATAACGATTCTTCTTCATTTGTTAAATCTTATGATGAAAAACTGAAAGATTTCATGGTTTCGTGATCTCTGCTGATATTTGCGGGAAGTGTTTCAAGCTATTTGACTTGAATGCGGATATGGCGAGAACTTGTTTTTGTTGTTCAGTTTCTTGTACACGGCGGCGTATTTCCTCAGTGAATGCATGTTTGTTAGAACTTTTGCTTTATAACAATTTTCTTACCTGAGTGGCCTATGCTTGCTGGACGTGCTTCACATTTACAGTCATCCAAAACAAGTAACCATGATATCCGCAGTGCTATGATCGCCAATTTACAATATTCATCTAATTGTTTGGTGAATATAGGACCTTGTGCGCTAATTAGTATGTCACACGATGGTGAAGGAACTATTGCTATAATCGGCTCTTTCTCAGAGTATTGCAATATCTGATCAGTGTTTCTTAGCGAGTCATAGTTCGCAATGGCGAATACAAACCCGCCATGATCCGCGCCTACGAAAGTGATAGCGGTGTAAACATGACGCCAAAGCAAAGCCGGGCAATTGTTTATTAGACTATTATCTCTTTTTAGAAGTTAACTCCTCTGGGAGCAACCATCATTGAATAACAGACAGTTTTAAGTATTATTGCGAATAACCCTAAGTGCTGTCAATATTGTAACGTGGTTTTGATTTAAACAAAGTTGTTCATGTTAACTTAGGAACGAAGTGACTCAACCTATGAGCGAAGAAGCTAGTTGAATTTCCATTCTATTTTGAATGATATATCGACAAAAACAATGAAGTAGAAAAACAGTACTTTATTGCAAAAAGGCCTGAAGCGTACGGCTGTTTTTTTTTTGCGTACTTGGTCAAGCGTATAGCTCACGAAAGAAATAGACTGACATCGAGAAAGTCGTCACTTGAAAATCATAACCAAAAGCTTGCCTACTATTGAAGGTGTTAGCCTAACGACGAGAACGCATGGAAATATGGGTAACATAAAGCAACTCTACTCTCAGTGAAATCCCAAAGATTTATTAAACTTTGTGATATTTTATTCCATTCTGTGACGTTGCGAAGCGGGAAGTTATGACCGTCATTACTAGGATATAGAGCTACCCAAATTACATAACGGCGGTCTTATCGAGTGGGCTTCAGAGGCCTAAAAGTCCTTTAAGATTAACTGAATATGTTGGCAGTGTGGTCCCCATTTAGTCCCTTTGTGTGGTGATATAATTTCTGAGTGTGCGTTTCGTTTGTGCACGATTCGGCCACTTGTTAATTTATTTTCTATCTATTTAGAGAGAAACAGGAAAAATGTTGACCAGTCATCTTCCGAGCTGCTCTTGCTTTAATGACATCTTGCTAAAAATGTAATGCCAAAATTTACAATAGCGCTAAATTCAAGAGTTATGACTTGCTCTTTGTGCAGTAACAACACGACAAGGAAAAAACAACTCAGAAAATTACTTTTGTTAAATAAAGGCTGACGTCATTATAAAGAGAACTGGTCAAACCGCTATCCTTCGGTATTCACAAGGCCAAAAAAACNGACGTTGCGAAGCGGGAAGTTATGACCGTCATTACTAGGATATAGAGCTACCCAAATTACATAACGGCGGTCTTATCGAGTGGGCTTCAGAGGCCTAAAAGTCCTTTAAGATTAACTGAATATGTTGGCAGTGTGGTCCCCATTTAGTCCCTTTGTGTGGTGATATAATTTCTGAGTGTGCGTTTCGTTTGTGCACGATTCGGCCACTTGTTAATTTATTTTCTATCTATTTAGAGAGAAACAGGAAAAATGTTGACCAGTCATCTTCCGAGCTGCTCTTGCTTTAATGACATCTTGCTAAAAATGTAATGCCAAAATTTACAATAGCGCTAAATTCAAGAGTTATGACTTGCTCTTTGTGCAGTAACAACACGACAAGGAAAAAACAACTCAGAAAATTACTTTTGTTAAATAAAGGCTGACGTCATTATAAAGAGAACTGGTCAAACCGCTATCCTTCGGTATTCACAAGGCCAAAAAAACTTATTTTCTAACTGGTTACAAAAGAACCTGTCAAGGAGAACTTGTCAGAGTAACTCTAGCTTGATATGTTTAAAAATTGAGATTTAAATTTTCTCTTATGCGCCTGAACCAAAAAACTGTTTCTTGGCTGAATGTGGTACAGATATAAATTCGTTCCAGTTTATTGCGACATTTACGCTGATTGGAGTAGACGGAATTAAAAACCAGTAGCCTCTAATTCTAATCAGAGGAATGGAAATCACTTTGACAATGATGGTGTGTCGATCCACCTGAGTCCAATCTCTTTTCTCTAAACCTCCTGTGTAGCTTGTTAATAATAAAGATAATGCCAGTGCAATTACAACTGCCATTATTTTGCATAAGAGTGAGATACCAAATCATTCAAAACAGACAGAAACATGGACGGTCAATATTGGACAGGCACCTTGAAACATAAAGTAGAGTGTTTCTACCAAACGGTGCAGTATGGAAAAATGTTTTATCCCGAAGGTTCATCAGGTGCTTCGACCATCAGTTAACAAAGGATCAAGACAAAACAGCAAACGCAGAACTAACACCTACTTAATCAGTAGAAAACGAGTTTCTTCCTAAAATATCAAGAAACTACCTCAAAGCATAATTTCGTTGCACCTAAGGTAAGAGAAATTCATTTGGCAAATGTCGGCTATAATGAGCTTGACTTAGCTGATAAGTTTTTTGTCAGAATTCATATAAAATTGTCCAACAAAGTAATGATTATTCAACCTATAACAATTATAATATTCACTTGTTTCCAGTTCTTTTTTTTAATTCTTAACATAAATTTGCAAAGACAAAGGAGCAAGCCGGTTTCGCTTAGCTCTAGCCAATCTCGTCGCGTGACAATAAATATGAGCGTGCCATGATCATTGCAGTGGAATACGCAATTAAACCTTCTGCAAGCCTCAAAGGAAAAACAAACGAGGCTTTGGACGGGACCATCTAAAAGCACTAACCTCCGCGCATAAGTCAATATTTCGTTTTGCTGGTACCGGTGATTGCTCTAATTAAATTATTTTAGTTTCTCTTCATTTATATACGTAATTTTAGCCCTTTTATTGCTGCGGGGCGAGCGCAGCGAGCGAGCAGAAACAAAATCAGGATTTAAGAGAAATATATAGGGTGGGACGAATTCTCGAATTCATCACTTTTTACCAGAATGCATTGCATTTGACCAGAGTGCACTGCGCCACTTTTTGCCAGAGAGAATGCATTGTGCCGCGAACAACTGAAATAGTTCGGTGGGTGAGAGCGTGCATCGTTCGCTGCTCAGACTCAGAGCTTTCTTTGTAGCAAATTTTCGACAGCACTGTTAGAGGTCTTTCAGATGAGTACGATGGTTAACTTTGGGATTGGATTTCGAGAGTCTTGGACTTTTCCAGGCGTTAAACTTGACGAGAAGATGAGCATTTACTCTTCGACTCCTTAACTCGGGAGAAATACAAATTCCAGATTGCTGAAAGGTGATGTGAAAGTGAGAAAATGTCATGTCATGCTATTCCGCTCAAGAACCTGTATGAGCCGAAAATGGATGTGATTTTGACCATTCGCTTCAAACTAACAGCGCAAATCGAGACAACATGTGTTTTGTGTCCTTCTTTGCAGAAGAGGACGTGTTTCGGCGTTTTGTAAAGCATAATTATGTTCTTTAATTCATTCATTGCCATGGAATACGTTTACATTGTTTTTTACTGTTAAAGGCTCCGTTAATGCGGCTCGATCATCTTTAAACGGCGTTTGCCGGCAGAAGTTTCATGGGAAAGGCATTAAATTAAAAACTTTTCCTGAAGGTTACGTAATCAGCCTTTGTGAAAATCGAGGCGAAGGTGCCGGGTTGAAGTCCTACTCAGTACCATATCTTTCTTTCCTACTTCCTCTTTCTCTCTTTCTCTCTCTCTTTCTTTCTATTTTCCCCGTTTTTTGTGTTGTTGTTTTCTATAAATATTTACCTAAATAACTGTTATGCAATAAAGTGCAAGAAACTGCAAGAAAAGTATAGTGTTTCCAGAGAAAACTGAGATAGTACACCGTAGTTAAATCAAGAGCCATAATAATGGCTGTTGATTAAATACATGGATAAACAATCTGAATTTCTATGATTTCCTACAATTTATTATTGATAACCATTTGATCATTTTTTAAATAACGTTCCCACGATTTTTTTTATAGACTGACAGTAATTCTTACTTTCCAACATGTAAATTGGACACGTTCAATGTCATTTTCGATTCTTTCAAAGTGTCACGCAAGCAGATGGATCACTGCCCAACTAATGTCAGTATCAATAGAATGCGCCGCAGCATTACTATCTTTTAGATACCCTTGTTAGTTAAGCAATAGAAATCACACGAGAGGGGTTGGGGGATTCGAGACAGTTATGCCCAACCCGAGACGAAGTGGAAGTCGAATTCGACAGTTATGCCGAATATTCTTGCGTGATTAGCGAGTGAAAAGCAACACATCTTGACGTCACAACCATGATAATGATGATGATGCAAACAAGCCTCTCAGCCAATCAGAGCGCGCGTACTATCTTAGTTATTTTATAATGTTGCAGCGATGCTGTAAGGCTGTGTTGTGTTAAAAATCGTCCCGTGTAACATTACCTTTGAAAGATCAAATAACTGCTGCCAAAAGTGGGCCTGAAACAATTTCGAAAAGAAGCTAAAACTATTCGTCCATTCAGCGTGGATGGCCCCCACAGTTTAACTACGCGTTGATTGGTACCACAGCGCACTGCTGAAGGAACAGGCTGGAACATAAACAATGCAGTAAGTCCGAAGAGCCCCAATGGCAAAAATGCGTTATGCTAAAATTCTGGGAATTAAAAGCAGCTTTTGTAACAGCTTGTGCTTTCAATGACATTGAAAAGAATCAGCCATGCGAAAATAGAAGCGTGGGAAATTTAGCAAAGATCTGTTATGGCTGCTGCTTTGTGAGATCTTCAGTGCACTGGCGCTTTTCTGAGGTAGGGATACACTAACCCATTGTTCTAATGGCCTATGCCTTGCAAACAATTTTCAATTTTGAAAAATGTCTGCAGATTTAAGTGTCTGAATTAATTTTTCATTTCCCATTCATAAGAAGGGCCATGTTGGAAGCATACATGTTCCCAATAAGATGTAAACAGCGTTTAAAGTTGATTAGCAAGTAACATATCTATTGAGTCTAATATCTGACGATAATACAGGGGCACCGAACGACAATTTTCGGAAAATATCTGTTCGGAAGACGATCTGAGATCTAGAATTTTCGGAACATATGTTGTAAAATTTCTTGCTTGCCTGCCTCTCCTAGGATTTTCGAACATCTACAAAATAGTATAATTACCCATTTTTAACGGATTTTGACCCTAAAAAAGGCCACCTAGAATTTTCGGGAGCCTTTTCCTGGCTGAAATTTTCGAGAAGGTAAGTTTTTATCCCTATAATTTTCGGATCACTAGACTTTCAGCTAGGAAATCCGAACAGATGAAAAATTTTTAGGGGATAAAAATTTGCCTATATCTACCGTTTAAATACTAAAATACGTTCAACAATGCTATGTTAAGTGGCTTTGAACTATATCCTCGTTGGGTGCCCCTGATAATAACATTAAGTTACTGTAGTTTTAAACTGGTACACGCTTTGTTTTATGATTTGGCTTATAGAGAATTTGCATTTTTCCTGAAAAATTCTCTATGTCAAATATTTTAAGTATTCTGCGCGCTACAATAACAATAATAATAATATTATTACAATAGATATGTACACATAGAAGGAACTTGTAAAAACAACCAATTAGAGGAGCCGGTTAATAATTGACACAGAGTGAAGACAAATAGTGAAAAGTTTATAATATTCTATATATTAAAGGCAGTGTTTAAAACATAATGCATGCATCAGTAGCGGGAGATATATGGTCGGATCTTGTTTTTACCAAAACCAAGCGTGCGGCACAGTCCAAAACTCGTTGCAGCTAAAAATATATTTTTAGTTTACGATACTCTAAGTTGCTACATAGCGAAAGCCTATATCACCGCTATCTTTGCTCAGATACTTACTTAATCTACCGATAAAAAATAATAATGATAATAATAAATTAAATCCAAACTTTAAATAAATAATCAAACAGTAAATGAATTAAAATTGAGATAAAAATGGCCGTAATATATAGATTTAGCCAGGGCTAAAAGCAAAGCTCCCATTAAAAAATCTTTAATTTAAATCAAACAATTAACTTGTAATCCACTTTTTAAGGTCAGTTAGTTACAGTTTTATGCCATAAAGGCCGGTTAAAAAGACAAGATAGTGCTTGGTGGCAGCCAATCTAAAAGCGAGGCCAAAATGAAGGCAAATTTTTTGTGTTCGACAAGTTTACTAAACAGAATCTGGCCAACAAATCTGGTGGCGTGTAAACCAGCTTTTCATACTTTTCATACATCACATCTGAGGTAAACGGCTATGAGGCGCTGTTTCTTTATCATACAGACCTTGGACAGAGTGCAGTTTTTTACAATTTCGCAAGACAAATTTCATTCAATATTCTGGACGATCGAAGCACGCGCTTCCTTTGTACAACAACTTAGAGAGTAACCACGTTATAAAACGTTTTCATGAAGAGAATTCCATAGTGTCGGAACTGTTCAGTCAGAACAATCTGCTCCTATGTGGTATGCAGGGTAATAATGGGCTTTTAGGGAAAAAGTTCAAAAAACTTCCAAAACACCCACCCGGCCAGCCAGTTTTCACTTTTGATAAGCGCCAAATTTGCACTGCGAGCTGTCAAGTGTTTGAATGAACATTAATAGAGTTACGCTTCAACATAATAAAGAATTTATTATCTTTATATTTTATTTTATGGTTTTATTATGTGTAATATTTAAAAGCGTTGAATACGCGCGGTATTTTGAGTACTCCTGCAAGCGATCGAAAATAACCGGTACAGCAATCAAAATTGCAAGAGAGACTACTAACAATCAATAAAAGAAATATAATTCGGTGAAACGTTTACAGCGACAATTCATTCACGAAGACAAGTATAGAGATTTTAAAGTGTGTCTAAAATTAAAATCCTGAGTCGTGTAAGCAAATAAGCTTAAAACCCGCCTGCGGATTAATGTTTTAAGCAGGTTTCCCGGTGTTTGCTATTATTTTTTCAAGATGAACACGAGGCAAGAAAATCGCTCAAAGCTAGCTTTCTTTTTACAGCCAAAGGTATAAATAAATAAAACAAAACTGAATGCAGGGCTGGCACAACGGCAAAGGGCTGATTTATTATAGGCCAATATTTCGGCTAACAAAATTAGCCTTCCTCAGGGCCAGAGCTTTACGGCTAATTTTGTAGCTTGTTTACCTTCTCCATGAAACATGAAATTAGGCATTTTCACGTCGTAGTCGTGCAGTGACGGCAAAGAAATGTGAAAAAAGTGTGATGCATGTGCAAAGTTGTTGTTTTGCTAATCAAACCTATTGCTTTTTTGCCGTTCTCGTTGCCGTCGCCGTCGTCGTTGCTAAAGCTCCCTAATGACCTCCGTAGAACGTACAGTCTAAGTCATGGGCAGAGATTATGTCTTGCATAGCTGCTGAAAGCCGTTAATTAAAGGGGTCCTAGAGTCGATGCTTGTGGAANCGGTATTTTGAGTACTCCTGCAAGCGATCGAAAATAACCGGTACAGCAATCAAAATTGCAAGAGAGACTACTAACAATCAATAAAAGAAATATAATTCGGTGAAACGTTTACAGCGACAATTCATTCACGAAGACAAGTATAGAGATTTTAAAGTGTGTCTAAAATTAAAATCCTGAGTCGTGTAAGCAAATAAGCTTAAAACCCGCCTGCGGATTAATGTTTTAAGCAGGTTTCCCGGTGTTTGCTATTATTTTTTCAAGATGAACACGAGGCAAGAAAATCGCTCAAAGCTAGCTTTCTTTTTACAGCCAAAGGTATAAATAAATAAAACAAAACTGAATGCAGGGCTGGCACAACGGCAAAGGGCTGATTTATTATAGGCCAATATTTCGGCTAACAAAATTAGCCTTCCTCAGGGCCAGAGCTTTACGGCTAATTTTGTAGCTTGTTTACCTTCTCCATGAAACATGAAATTAGGCATTTTCACGTCGTAGTCGTGCAGTGACGGCAAAGAAATGTGAAAAAAGTGTGATGCATGTGCAAAGTTGTTGTTTTGCTAATCAAACCTATTGCTTTTTTGCCGTTCTCGTTGCCGTCGCCGTCGTCGTTGCTAAAGCTCCCTAATGACCTCCGTAGAACGTACAGTCTAAGTCATGGGCAGAGATTATGTCTTGCATAGCTGCTGAAAGCCGTTAATTAAAGGGGTCCTAGAGTCGATGCTTGTGGAACTACAAATGTTTTGCCTTCGACCGCCAGATGTCGTGCTACCAAAAATAACAGATTGTGTCCTGCCCGTACGATAAGACGAAAACCATTATAGCACTGTGTGGGAAAAACCGAATAAATTTCTGAGTCTCTCCACAAGTATGGTATTGTCCAAGGTGTTATTTCATGAATATCAAGCATTGTCATAAAAGAACGTCTTGTCAACAATCAGTATTCCCCAGAACATCATTGATTACTCGCAGCAGAGCAGTCGTTTACGGTAGGCGGATTGCATAGAAAGCATTGAAGCACTTTTTCTCCAAGTATTAATGTGACAACCTTCTCGATCCTTTTGGTTTTGGCTACAGGTCTGTATCTTTTAAAATATTTTTGTTAAGGACTGGCTTCTCCAAGACTGGGTGTATCAGGGACTCTTTAACAGCAGAAGAGAATTCTCAAGAGTTTAAAGATAACTGCTATGACTCAGTGATACTATAGCGTCAAGCTTAAGGTGATTGAGAATTGAGGCAGGGTCGAGTGAATTTGATTAAAATTTGAGAAATGATGTGATAATATGTCTAACGGTGTTAAAACTTGATCGAGATTTTGAACAAGTACACTGAGGCATCTTAGAGAGTCGTTAGCCATAGCGTGATCTTCACAAATCCTTTCTAACTCATTCCTGAGGCTCCGAATCCTTTTGTACATAAAAGCAATTGAAATTTGTAGATAGGGAATCCAGAGAATATATAGAAATCCACTGCAGACTTGTGGACAGTCCATCAACAGCCTGCTGTTGCTTGCTTGGTCAATTTTGGCTTTGAAATAATCTGAATAGATTATGTAGAGTTGGTTTCTATAAAAATTGTTTATGAACAGCAAGGAGGGATATTCTAAACGTTCTCTGGCTCTAGGCGATGGGAAACGCAAGTGTTTATTATATCAAGCAGACCCCAGTGGGTCGATGGTCGATCCATCTTGTTTAATTTACTAGACTTATGCGTTCCGGTAGGTAGGTAATGATCTTTAGATAAACTTAACAAGGTCAATGTCTTTTCAAGTTGTTTATAAAAACTTTACAATTTGAAGTTGTCCTAAGAGAATCTGGAATTGCGTTCCATAATTTTTGCGGCTAAGTGACGCCAAGATTTTAGGCCATTATGAGGTTGTTTTAGGCTTAGGTAAGATCAATATATTGTTGCCTGTTGCCCCTAACTTTCCTACAGCTAATTAATTCCCTAATACATAGTGGCGCATTGTTGCTGTGCATGACTTTAAATACAGATGTTACAGTTTTAATGAGTCTTTGGTTTTGAAAAGTCGCGAGGCATAGTTGCCTCAATAGATCTCAATAGTTCTTCATATTAACGTGGTCTGAACCTATTTATTCAGCATAAAGTTGTTATTCTTATATTGCGAACCGTATTCGCTGTATATTTCTGATTACTCAGTTTCTTGCAACTGAAGCTTTGGGCAAGAATACCCTTGCAGATAGGAGATAGTACCCCAGCAGTCTTCCTCTATTCGTGCGTCAACTTTCACAAATGTGTTAGCGTTGCATTTCAAGGTTAAATTTGACCAGTTATTCGTGCAGCAAGTTCTACGATCACGATTGACTTCAAACTTGCAGATATAAACCTAGAGAAATCTGAGGCTTATTTGCCGAAGTTAGAGAAAAATCTGTCTTAACGTTTCGAAATTATTGACATTTTTTGTAAAAATACGGTTTTAAATATTTAACAATTATTCTTTGAAATCGAGGTGAATAGTGGCTAAATATTTACCGAGCCGCGAAAGCGGCGAGGTAAATATTCCCAAAGCCACTATTCACCGAGATTGAAAAGAATAATTGTTTTAGTATTATCTTAGAGAGTCGTTAGCCATAGCGTGATCTTCACAAATCCTTTCTAACTCATTCCTGAGGCTCCGAATCCTTTTGTACATAAAAGCAATTGAAATTTGTAGATAGGGAATCCAGAGAATATATAGAAATTCCCTGCAGACTTGTGGACAGTCCATCAACAGCCTGCTGTTACTTGCTTGGTCAATTTTGGCTTTGAAATAATCTGAACAGATTATCTAGAGTTGGTTTCTATAAAAATTGTTTATGAACAGCAAGGCGGGATATTCTAAACATTCTCCGGCTCTAGGCGATGGGAAACGCAAGTGTTGATTATGTCAAGCAGCTCAGACCCCAGTGGGTCGATGGTTGATCCATCTCGTTTAATTTACTAGACTTATGCGTTCCGGTAGGTAGGTAATGATCTTTAGATAAACTTAACAAGGTCAATGTCTTTTTAAGTTGTTTATAAAAACTTTACAGTTTGAAGTTGTCCTTAGAGAATCTGGAATTGCGTTCCATAATTTTTGCGGCTAAGTAACTCCAAGATTTTAGGCCATATGAGGTTGTTTTAGGCTTAGGCAAGATCAATATATTGTTGCCTGTTCCCCTAACTTTCCTACAGCTAATTAATTCCCTAATACATAGTGGCGCATTGTTGCTGTGCATGACTTTAAATACAGATGTTACAGTTTTAATGAGTCTTTGGTTTTGAATAGTCGCGAGGCATAGTTGCCTCAATAGATCTCAATAGTTCTTCATATTAACGTGGCCTGAACCTATTTATTCAGCATAAATGTGTTATTCTTATATTGCGAACGTATTCGCTGTATGTTTCTGATTACTCAGTTTCTTGCAACTGAAGCTTTGGGCAAGAATACCCTTGCAGATAGGAGATAGTACCCCAGCAGTTTTCCTCTATTCGTGCGTTAACTTTCACAAATGTGTTAGCGTTGCATTTCAAGGTTAAATTTGACCAGCTATTTGTGCAGCAAGTTCTACGATTACGATTGACTTCAAACTTGCAGATATAAAACTAGAGAAATCTGAGGCTTATTTGCCGAAGTTAGAGAAACATCTGTCTTAACGTTTCGAAATTATTGACATTTTTTTTAAAAATGCGGTTTTAAATATTTCACAATTATTCTTTGAAATCGAGGTGAATAGTGGCTAAATATTTACCGAGCCGCGAAAGCGGCGAGGTAAATATTCCCAAAGCCACTATTCACCGAGATTGAAAAGAATAATTGTTTTAGTATACACACGAAGTGATCCCAAAGAAATCAGAGAGGAAACCATTAAAAAGTACGATTTGATTGACAGATCAAATCACGCGAAAGTTTAAAAATAGATCTTTGCAGAATGTTCAAATATGGCAATTCACAAGTTTATCACTTTGCAAACAACAGCATAATGGCTTAAATGGAACCGCTAAAAGTTTGAACTGTTTTCTTACCTGAGAAGAAAAGTGGAGCTTTGTTGTTTTCCGTTGATGTGTCGTTCTTCGCATGAAATGCTGACAAAAATGGCGGCTCGGTTGCTCGAGGTACTGACGTCGTCTTCCTGTATCATTCTTTTTCCTGTTTACTTGAAACGTAGAATTTCTGCAAACATTTCCTTTTAAACTTGTTTGTCATAAATAAACTTCGATTTTAGAGCCAAAATTTTCTTGTTAGAAAACGCTGCGTTCACGAAACGGCTTCTTCTACGCGAATACACGGGAGTTGAAAACAATCCATCGAGCACAAAACTCAGCTACAGTAAATTGAAAAGCGCCGTATTGAATCCTTTCAAGTCTTTTCTTGCCTTAAAAAAAGTCAACCCTAGGATTTTGTCGACTTTTAAAAGATCGTTCTCTAAAAAAATGGGAAAAACACCAAGCTCACACATTATCCACTCGCTAGGAGGTGAATATTGTTGAATAGTCCGAGATAGCGAACCAATCAGATTGCTTAAATCACCAAGATCACTGAGTGTGTATATACTAAATGCCGATATCTCAAACATTTTTATACCTACAAGAAACTAAATAACGTTGTTTTAAAGTTCAATCATTCTTTATTAAGGACGTCAAAAATCATAGAAATCGGTTAATCATTCCTGCCGAAAAATGCGATTCAAAAACATAACCAACGCGCACATAAATAGGTTCGGGCCACCTTAAGTGTGCTTGTCTCTAAATACAAATCCGATGGCTCGCTCGTTTATTTTCCCTAACTTGTCAGTGGCGACCTTGCTGCAAAAGTGCCACGTTTCGGAACAATAGTTGAAACGCGGAACAATGAAAGATAAATACAAATCACGTCTAATTTCGAAGGGTAACCTTTTTTTTCATGCGCCTGAGTACCGCTAGTGTTATGACTCTTTTCCAGAAACCTCCGACACGTGATTGTCAAACTTGGTCGTCGGTGTTGACGCCAAGCATCTCCAAATGAGAAGATATGGGAATGATGGTTTTTTTCACACCTTACATGTAAAGTCGGTTTGTTTTCTGTTTTACCGAGAAATGAGACCGTTCAGATCGTACCATTTGTGAAAATAATAAAATAGGCGAATAGAAGTGATAGATATCGAAAAGAATATTATAATTTAAAACAAAGATGATTGAAACTAGCCATATATTAAAAGGCGTTCCTGTATTAATTTGGAAGGTTCCTTGTCAAAAATGCTGAGTATTAAAATAGGGTAGAATACAACTTCTAAATCTGCGGACCCAAGTTAGGTGTAACGTGCGAAGTTACCGCTTAAGAAGAGTTGCGCTTAGCTCACGAGGAGATTTTATTTCAGTAAATTTTTGTTACTTTTCTAGAAAAAAAATTTTCAAGATTGTTGCCTCTTTGGGCGTGAAAATCATAGTTACCTGTCGCTTAGAAAAAATGTTCTGTATGAATTGCATATTTGAAGTAAATCATATTTTGAGGCAAGATCATAATAACTATTACAAAGGTAAGCGAGTCAGTATTACCATCCCTAATGTTTCATTACTATCCATTTTCTTCCAACAAATATAGCTTTTCAAAGAGCTCTTCATTAGGCAAATGGCTAAGCTTTGTGTAGTATTAAAACTTACTTAAAATGAGAATTGGTGGTTTGGATCCAGGCAGGTAACCTGTAACAAATGCAAGACTTTTTAAAGCCAAAAAAAATGTCTGCAGCCTCGCTCAAACTAGTGTTGTTTCACCGGACCATATCCAGAAAAGTATCTGTTCAGTTCATGTAGATTTACAAACAAAGCAAACATTCGGTTAGGAATCATCTAGCATATACCTTACTCTTGAACTCGAGGAAAAAGATGTAACCCCAAGGTGTTAAGACCTTTCTAGAAATTTAGTGACAAAATCAAATAGCCTTATCATGTCACGAATATTGAAGCTGGAAAAGCTTTTAACAAGAAAATCAATGCGCAATTGAAAAATAAACATGAAAGATGAATGCAGTCGGTAATGCGGCATGTTTATACCGGCGACCTGCACCGAAAATGGATATTCCCGGCACCTATAACTCTCCTCCTAACGCGCGTCGGGAAAATGTCAAAAGGAGCTTAACTGACTGATTTTGGTAGACAAAATTATTTTTACCACTCTCATCATAATTAAAAATAAAACTTTTGCATATAAACTTGGCGTAGTTGTAAAAGTTCCTTTTTCTGATCAACAAAGCTTGAAGTACGCAACGGAGAAATGAACAAGAAAAAGATATATTTCCGTGCAGCTTAATTGTAAACTTGATTTCTTAAAAAGAGCCCGGAATTTATTCCCGAACAATCGCAACATGAACGAGCTCGTGCGACATTCTTTAAACTGTTCTACTAACAATAAGTTAACTAAACGTCATAAGAAAACAATAGAAACCAATGGACTTTGTTGCTAAGTTATTCACACAGGAACAGGCATGTAAAACAGCTGAGGTTAAGTTTCATCGTCATTTTCAAACTGTTTACCTGCATTACAGCTTTTTTTATTTAGAGACCTTGGAAAACGTTTTGAAAGGATAAAGAAACCTGAGAGTAGCAATCGGAATATTCAAAACATTGCGATGAGGTAAGAAGATATTATAATTAACTAGAAACTATTTTTGAATAAATTGAAGACGTACAAGAAAAATAACATAAGATGAGCACCAAATTAAGCATAAAGTTAAGACCCTATGATGCTTAATTACCACGAATTTATCCCGTAAGTTTTATTATGTGGTAGTATAGTTTCCTGAGCTATCGAAGTAACATGAATTTACACGGTCGTTCGCCAAGGTGTTTAATGTTTTATGAAGCTTTGCAACCTTCGTAGTAGTTTATCTTTACAGATGAAGCAATGCAACAAAGATCAAAAAAGAAAAAGTTGCCAAACAATTTGCAATAATTCACGCTTCTTGGCTCTACATGCATAATTCAGAAATAAGTAAAATGCAATGCCCGTAAAAATATATGTTTATTAAAAGTAATGATATTCCCCGTGAGTTTTCGTTGCGATATTTATAGAACTAATGGCTGGGTAAACGAAGCACGTAATGCAAATTTTAGAGCCTGTAAATTAAGTATTGCGTGAAATGAACTGTTGATTTTAAGGGTGAAGAGGCGTGCAGAATCTTAAGTGACATCTCTTGGTAAACACTATTGCCTTAAAGAATATCTTAAATATTCCCTCATATCGATTTCGACAAACTGCGACACATTTCCACTGGCTGCATTAAATTGCACCTTCGTCACTAACTCGTATGTCAAAATCGACACACTTGTCACAAAATAACCGTTCATTTTAATCAAAGCGCCCAAATAAGTTCCTCTTACTTTTCAATTTTGCAAGCTGCAACGTTCCACAAATAGCGACTCTTTGCTTCCACTTCGGAATTCACCAAGTCATTTCATTTATTACTGAAGGTATAGGAAAATGTATTTTACTTCTAGGAAAGTAGCCTATCGTTTGTAATTAATTAAGATTTACGGTTGGCTTTGGCTGTTTAGTAAGACAGCGTAAGGCACCAAAATTTTAGGCTGAATAATTTTTTTATGTTTCTTTTATGAATCTTCAGTTCTAGAAGATGAATTTCTGGTGCAGAGATATCTATCTAGATTTCTGAACTTCCAAAATAATAATAATAACTTTGCTGTTTTCATTTGAAAAATACCGTGGAATCTTTTAAAAGATATTTCCAGGAGCAAAAAAAAAAAACGATAAAAAAAACGTCACGCAATAACGAATCTGTTTGGATGGAAAGATGTTAAGAAAGAAGAAAAAACAAATTGAAATAAAATTTTGTTTATATCGAACGTGTTATAATTTTCCTTCGTGAAATCGTACAAGTTTTATTCTATGACAAAGCTGTTTTCGTTTATTCTTCCGGTGGTTAAACGTTGTGTTGTCTTTAATACAGATGGAGCTTTGGTGGATCATTTTAGCTGGTTGCGGAGGCGGACTTCTCTTGATTGCATACGTGGGTTTTGTCATCTATAAAATTGTTCGTCATAGAAAGAGGTAAGACCTGTTTTTAACGGCTAAAAAGTTTTAGATATAAATTAAAAGTACGCCTCCATAAATGTCTAGCCGGCGACGTAGGGGTTATAATGCATAAACCTTTATCGAAGCGGTGGATATTTGAAAACCTATCATTATTTCGAACGTTCTTATACAGGAAGCCCAAGCTTAACAAAAATATGAAATAAGAAACCTTGTATGGCGTATAACTTTATTAAATTATTATTGTTGTTACTTACAATGAACTTCATTTATTGTAAATTATTACGTAACAGAACCTGTTATAACTTCCCCCTGTAAAACGATAGTTTTTTTCCAGTCCTTTGGCATCTTCTTATACCAGGGCAAACAAGAACTCAAACGTAGGAGCAAAGAAGGTCTCAAGTATTTAGCATAATTATTCATGACTCTCCATATGTCACCCGTTTATTACAGCTTGGACACGAATTTTCATGAACTTACCGCTTATGTAACGGGTTTTCTTGAACTGCGACGTAATAACGCAGTTGCTTCAGAGTTTTCATGGAGTTCTTGCAGGTAGTGTTTTATTTCTCGCTGACCGGCGAAATATAAATTTCTCCACATTCACATCCACTGCGTGTAATAGTTCAGTCTAGTAAATTTTTATGTGCAGTAAATCACATTTGAGAACTGCGGATGAAACCGAAAGATTGTGGATACATACGATCCCCGAATCCCGGTCACTGACGAAAAGGATTTGCTTGTTAATGTGGGCATCCACATTCAGTTCAGTCTAGTCTTTTGTTTCTCCGTTGTCCTCCATCTTTTGGCCTCTAACTAAACTTTCCCCGATTCTGGAATCTTTAAAGTACCAATATTTCAGTCCTATAACCTTGGAAATCCGTCAAAACATCCGTATATTCCCGAAACTTAGAGCTTGTAAAATGTCAGACTGCGAGCCGTCTTTACTTGGTCTTTTAGTTGGTGGGATAGTTAGTACAGATGCGCGTCTAGACCTCCCTTCTCGCGTGAAATCCCTCCATTTTCGGAGAGACCGTTTGCAGTCAAGCATAAAGCCACATTTTGACAAACATATAAACAGAATTGCTAGTAGAACAAACTTGCTTGTTGTGTCTTTCAAAGGTTTTTCATTTATTGCGTTCTTAATTTCGGTTGCAGGAAGTACCAAAGGGACCCGGAGGGACTGACGGACGGTAGAGATTGGACAGTCCACATACACGATCATTTCGAAAGAAGAGTAGACGGTCTGTGTATGGATACCATTTCAGGTTCAGCTAAGCTTCGTCGCAAGCCCATTATTCCAGGGGAAGAGGAAGCTGTATTACAATCTATTTTCAAGGTATCAAGCCCACCAAATGTCCCAAAAGGCAAACACGACGGCCCACAAAGAACATCAGGCGAAATGTCACGATTAAACGGGGTAACTGGACCTAATAATACAAGTCCTAAAGTAATCCAAAGATCTGAATACACCTGGGAGAATTTACTACGTCAACCGAGTGATGTGAGGATGACACGAAGCCACACCATTAATCATGATCTCACAGACCACAGATCACCAATGAGGCTGGATGCCACAACTCGTTCTTTGAATTTTGACAGAGACCTCCAAAGACGGCAGCAAAAAGTTAGAAGTAAATCCCTTAGGGCACACAAATCCCGTGAACCAGAATCAAACAACTTAATTTCTGTCGACGAAACAATACCATTTACCAGAATAACTGTCTGCGAGAGACCTGGTCAGGACATTAACAAAAACGAAAGCTCGGAAAAAAGCCCTCTGTGCACAAATACTATGACGACGGCGACTGAACACAGCAAAAGCGACAGGTCCACTGATAAAAGCAGACGAATTAGCCGATCAGGGTCTGTACCATCTATGCGAGCCAGGGAAATGGTCCTACAACGTGAAGGAGACGTTCTTCCACGAGAAAGAAGTGAATCTCTCCGATGGATTCCAGAGCCTGATTATCAGTTGGAGTCGATGGAGGAAATTGTTAAAAGTGTAAAGAGCCTTGACACAAAAGAACGCCTCGAGAGGAGTAATCGAAACAAGGATCTAGTTAATTTTCAGGCAAATAAAACCCAAGATGTGAATAAAACAAGGAGGATCAGCAGATCCGGGTCGGCGCCTTCCACCCAAGCCAAGGAAACAGTAATGAAAAATGAAGCAGACGGACTCCAACGGAAAAGAAGTGTTTCACTTCGATGGATTCCAGAGCCAGACTACCAATCTGTCACGATTGATGAGCTTGTCTCCGCAACTCAATCTACTGAAGAAGATTATCACAGACAAAAAGCAATACGCAGTGAGTCTGGAAGTGGGGAACTAGTCGGCATTGAGAAAACAGAAAATTTAGACAGAAATAAGAACGAATCGTCTAGTCGTTTCAGCAAAGACGGTGGTGATTTTGTTCGTAAATTCTCAATACCGGGTGTGGCCCAGCGTATATCGACAGATAAGGCTTTAGAGAAAAGCCGTGCCATTGTAAGTGACTTACATAATGAAGAAGCAGGCTTAGACAAGGATCGCATTCAGGCCCTCGATCATCAAATTCCACCAGAAAGGCCAAACTCTGGCCAGTACGAAGGTACTACAGCCCAACGAAATACAGTTGATGAAAGAGCAGCGAATCAAGGACATTCCAATAGCAACAGTGACCCAGAAACACGGGTAAATCTTAAGAAAATACCAGCAGTAGAAGAAAAGAGAAATGAATATGTTATAGGGAATAACCAAAGTGTCGTATCTTCTGTTAATAAACCATCAGAAGAAGCATCGATTGGGAAAATGAAAATCGTAAAAAACGAGACTCGCCCTTGGATGGTCAGTCAGGAAAGAACTCTCAAGTATCCAATAAAAGACAATTCCGCAACTGGTTTAAATTCAACTTCCACAAAGCCAAAATCACAACCGACGTCGACGGGAAATGCAGCTTATGAACACAACAAACCTGACCTGGGGTCACGTCTAAGCACAAGTGACCTGGTAAAGGCCGCTTTGAGGAATCAAACCAAGAGCAACGACTATAATAACAATATCGTAGTCACTATGCCATTAACTACAACAGCGCCACCTTCAGACAATCAAGTTCTGGAGGTACCAGATATAGCCCTCAAAGCAGACTCGAGTTTGGCAGCAACCGACCTAAAGCCGAATGTCTCAACACCAAAAGATAACGACGCCGGTCTCACACTTGAAGAAAGAAAGAGACATTGGAAGCGTGAGCAGATAGTCGATCAGCTACATAGTGCTCGACAAAATAACGTAAACCAGAACTTCATATTTGGAACTGGTCTAGCGTACCAGTCTTGTATGCCAGAACTGCAAAACAAACTAAAACAACTAACAATGACAAAGTAATACTCTGCCCACTATTACTTGCCAGCAAAACACTCCACAAAACACTCAGTCAATATTACACTTTCACTCCTAGAGGAGGGTTATATAGATAAAAAGATAATAGTCCTAGAAAGATGCTTTTCAAAATTGGTATCCTACGATCACATCGATTCAGCTGCGAAGGGAAAAATAGAGAACGTTTGC